CTACCCGCAGGTGATCCAGCTCGCGACTAGCCTCTACCACCAGCTCGTAAAATTCCTGTTCCTCTCTGTCAAATGGGATGCCAGTAGTTTGAATGACACCCAGAGTGGATTTGATCTTGAATTTGTTCCCTGGGTTTAATATGCTGTACTTCAAGGGCTCGTTAAGGCGGTTTCCAACAGCGTTGACCACTGCTACTTTTGTGATATTGGTGCTGTTTTCTGAGATGGATGTGGAGTAAAGGCTTTGTGTGAAATGCAGGCCACTGTCCATGGCTTCTTTGACCATTATGGTCACTACGGAAGTGCTATAGAACTTCCCATCGGATACTTTTGCTATGAGCATGTAATGATCTTTGGAGAGGCTGTTGTTTTTTATAGTTAGTACCCCGGAAACAGAATCAATGAGGAAATGCTCAGTGCTGCCTTCAATCAGGCTGTAGGTCATTTCAGGTGGGACTTCTGAATCTGGGTCCGCAGCCCTGAGCTTAAGAACCTCAACTCCAACGTATGTTGGTAGGAGCAAGATGGTCTCAAACATGGCCTGGCTGAAAACTGGAGGGTTATCATTGACATCCGTTACATCAATGGTGACTTCAGCTGGATTTTCTGCAGTAAGCTGTGGATTTCCACTGTCTCGAACGTGGACGTGAAAATGGAAATGTGCAATGGTTTCATGATCTAAGTCGGCAATAGTCCTAATTGCACCTGTACTGGAGTCTACGGTGAAATAGTTCTTTGCAGTGGACTCAACAATCTGGTAGACAAGCAAAGCGTTCTGATTACTGTCTGCATCTGTGGCTCGTATCACAAGCGGATTGTTCCCTAAGCTTCGAACGATGCTATTTACAGGTGCAGCCTCGCTGATGCTGCCCAGGTATTTTGAGAAGAGGAAGACTGGTGGGTTGTCATTTTCATCGATGATCTGGATGTTCACAGTGGCATTGGATGCCATCCCGGCCATGTTTGTGGCTTGTACGGTGAGCTGGTACGAGGAAGTGCGTTCATAATCCAGGGGCTTTTGAGTAGTGATGACTCCAGAGTAGGGGTTTATAGCAAAGGCTCCGTTGGTGTTGCCCTCCTTAACCTCATAAACTAGCGTGGACTGGCTGATTGCCGAGACCAAGATAACTGAAGTTCCAAAGTCAACATTTTCATTCACTTCAGCTTGCCATTCCTTGTGCGTGAACTTCGGGTGGGAATTGTCTGACATGGTCACAGATATGCGGACAATGGCTGTGGCTGACAGTGGTGGAGAGCCCTGGTCGGTCACTTTGACTGACAGAACGAACTGGTTCATGGTGGTCAGGTCTGGTTCCTTCAGCACCGTGATGATGCCCAGAACAGGCTCAATCTTGAATGTGTTCCCAGTATTCCCTAAAAGAGAAAAGAAAATAGGGATATATATCAAAAATGAAATGTAAATATGTAAAAATGATGAGCAATATGTTCAAAGTCCACTTGTTGGTATCACGTCATGCTTGCATAGCGCAAGGCCCACCAATTTAAACTCAGTCTGTCAACCATATATGGCCAGCTGCCAACCCAACCTTCACTATTTTTGCTGTCCCCAGTGGGCAGCAAAAACAAGAGTTTTGTCAAAAACAGGCATCCCCAAACTCGGCCCTCCAGCTGTTTTGGGACTATAACTCCCATCATCCCTAGCTAACAGGACCAGTGGTCAGAGATGATGGGAACTGTAGTCCCAAAACAACTGGAGGGCAGAGTTTGGGGATGCCTGGTCAAGAACCTGGTAAGCCACCATTAATGGCCTGACGGTTGTGTTTTGCTTGGTGAGACTAACTCTGCATGCACACAGCTGCATTATATACCAAGAAGAACTAGGTCTGATCACTGCCCAGTTGGGATCCCTGTATAAACCACTCCAAGAAATCTGAAGTATGAACTTGATATAAGTGCAGAATTCAAGCCCATTAATCTAATATGAAGCAGAAGATCTGTGGGCAAGACTTTTAAAACCAAGGGATTGCACTAAGACTACCAAGGGGCTATCTCTATACTAGAAAACATTATTCATTAAGAACAAATAAAACTCGGCAGATGAAGATGACGGACTATATGGAACTTGCCGAACTGACCGGGAGACTCCAAGACCCGAGAGAAGAGACGGTGGAAGAAGACTGGAAGAAGTTTAAGGAATATTTGAAAAAAATATGTTAATATTTAAACCTTAGAATAGCTTTGGAAGTGGATATAGGCTGTAGGGTTAGAAGTAGAAGATAGGGTATTTTAAAATAGTATTATTTGTAAGTGATAAAATGTGAAGTTATTTTAAGTATGATTAAAAAATAAAGATGGTTAGCAATTATGATATATGTAAACGGCTAAAGATGAAGTAAAATGAAAATCAGATAGGTGGAACTTAGGGAAGCCAACCTAACAATGTTTAGAAAAATAAGGATATGACAAGAATTTGTTTGTATTGTTTGTCTTTTCGGTCTGTGTTTTTTATTTGTGTTACAAAAGGAATAATTATTTTTTTTTGAAAAAAAGAACAAATAAAACTCTATTGCACTCCCCAAGGAGTTGCAGGAAACTGACATTTCAAGGCTGTGCTGATCATTCTCTCCGGAACCCCTGTATCACCGACAAAATGTGGAATGATATCCTTCCCTCATCCATATGTGAAGCAGCAACCATCAGTTGCTTCGAGTGTCTTGGAAAGAGTTATCTTTTTGCTGAGGCTTTGCCTGACCCACAAAAGTGGACCCTGATTTATGTGTATGAATCCCCCAAATCTCCATTTTCATTTGATTACCGTATTTTTCGCTCTATAGGAGGAACTTTTTCCCCTCCAAAAATGAAGGGGAAATGTGTGTGCGTCCTATGGAGCGAATGCAGGCTCCTTGGCTTCAGTGATAGCAACACGAAGCCTCCGAAGCACAGAGGGAGAGCTCCCCCTACGCTCCGGAGGCTTTGCGTTGCTTTCGCTGAAGCTGCCTGAAGCTCCCGGAGCGCAGCGCGAACACCCACTGCGCTCTGGGGGCTTCAGGCAGCTATCCGCAAGCCTTTGTAGCGCAGCAGGAGTTCCCGCTGCACTCTGAAGGCTTGCGGATACCCGCCTGAAGCATGGAGAGCAAGAGGGGGTGGCGCACACTGATCACTCTTGCTCTCCAGGCTTTGCTTCGCTGGAGAGGCGCTGCACAGTTTTCCCTCTCTGCGCAGCACCCCTTCAGCGAAGCGGGAGGAGAAATGGAAGGGGCTCTGTTTCTCCTACCGCTTCGCTGAAGGGGCGCTGAGCAGAGAGGGGGAGAATTTTTCCCTCCCTGTTCTCCCCCTTCTATGGTCCGGTGTGTCCTATAGAGCGAAAATACGGTATATATGGTTTGAGGTTATATTTTTGTTTTCATGGATGTCACTTTTATATAGTACATAGTCTGCACCGCATAGAGGTTTTTAAATGTATATATGAAATGCTTTTACATAAATAAGTAAATAAATGTGTGATTACACTTCCCACCGCTTTTTGAAGAGATCACAGTAGTTTAAGTCTACAGTGCAGAGATGCTGTAGAAGGGTAAACAAACCATTGCCAACCTTGGTGCCCTCTAGACATTTTGGACTACAATTCCCATCAGTCAAAGCCAGCACAGCTGTACTGGCTGGGGCTGATGAGAACTGCAGTCCAAAGTATCTGGAGGGTAGATAGGCAAAGCCACCTGCAAATCATTAACTGGCTGTAGTATTGATACAGTACCACCTGCTAGGATCTATGTGACCGACTGCAGCTGATCTGTGGACTTTGCTTGCCTGCATTATGTGATTTGCACAGTAATCCTACCCATGTCTATTCAGAAGTAAGCCCCACTAAATTCAACAGGATTTACTTCCAGGTGAGTGTGTATAGGATTGCAGCCTTATCCTAAACTCACTCGCCCCAGAGTTTTCCTATCAAATGCAGTGGGGCTTACTTCTAAATCAATATGCATAGGATTACACTAACAAGGCTGTGATTTCATACATGTTTACTAGAAAATGCATTTTACTGAAAGCTCATGGACTTCAAAGAAGAAGGGTTTAAGATCTGGCACAAAATAGAGATAAAAGACGAAGAAGCCAAATTGTTCAATGTGTGAGCAACAGTTCACGGCCTGAAATAATGAGGATTTTGAGCAATTTAATATTACTGGTTGAATGCTTCAATAGGACTGAAGGCGAAGCATGAGAACAGCATATATATATATATATAGAAATACACACAAAATAATAGCTCATCAAATAGATAAAAGGAAGCTAATGACAGCAAGGTTTGTTTATTGATCTTAGTGGATAGGGAAAAATCAAGAAGAATCATTGTTCAGTGAAGACGTAAATGGGCTCCTTAGAAGGTCAGGGTTTGCCACATACAAAATACAATAATGAGGTAGGATCAAGAGACTCTTTTGTCAAAAGCGTACAATGAGGACCGAAATGACCTGTTCCAAGGAACATGGAGCTGGTGGTGGAATCAACAGAAACTCCCTGCATTCAATTTGTCCTCATCTGCGTAATGTGTTGTCAAGCTTATCCTATGCCTTGGAACACAGAGAGCTGCATTCTACTGAGACAGACCACTGGCCCATTTACTTCAGTATTGTCTACACTGACTGACAGCAGCTGTCTAGGGTTTCAGACAAGGATCTAACCCAGTCCTAACCTGAGATGCTGGGGATTGAACATGGAACCTTCTGCCTGCAAAGCAGGTGGTTTACCGATGAGCCAAGGCCCTTTCCCTGCCAATGCTATGAACTTCTCCATATCAATAGCTCCTTCTCAGGCATCTTACCAAAGGTTTCATGAGTGAAGGGAAATGAGGAGAATGAAAGGGATTTCCAGGCTCACTTCATACACTTTAACAGAACCAAGAGATAAAGCTCACCCTCCACTCCACCCCGACTTTCACCTCAGGTTTAAAATTGCAAGAGCAGATGCTTCTTCGTGCAACCAGAGATGGTGCAACCAACAATAGCTGTACTCAGCCATCTTCAAGCATCCTTCTTTGGGGAAGGTCCCGTGGCTTAGGGATAAGAGCATCTGCTTTGCATGCAGAAGGTCCCGGGTTCAATCCCCAGCGTCTCCAGGTAGAGCTGGAAGAGACCCCCTACCCAAAACCCTGCAGAGCCACTGCCAGTTACTATAGACAACACTGATCTGGAGATTAGGCACCTAAGATTAGACATTCAAGTTGGTATTAGGCAGCTGTGCTCCTGGAGTTAAGCAAACCAATGAGAGAATGCTACCTCTACCCCATCCACCACCACACAGGTCACCCTGTATAGGCAAAGTTATGGAGCACAAAGCCTCCTGTATCTGTGGAAGGTCCATGCATGTTTCAAAGCCCTGATCTTATAGTGTTTTGAATGCCCAGAGAGCCTCCATGAATACAGGAGGCTCCCAGCTTCAGATACCTGCCCTTCTATTTGTCCCGCCCAGCTGAAATCAGACAGACCCCCTCGTTTGATGAACTTTCAGCACCTGATAAAGACCTTTTTATTTTATTTCAAGCAAGGTTTTCTGATTTTTCTATTAGTTTACATTGAGTTCACCTTTACTGTATCTTTTTAAACTTACTGTACACAGCTTAGAGACTATGTTGTTAAAGTGTGAACTGAATTGTGGAATAAAAATAGTAATAAATTGATAGGGTAAAGGCAACACAGGGAAGGGGAGTGGTGGAGCTTGCTGAATATCCCCACCCTCCCTGGCATGATTTCCATCATGTGTAGTTTTTGGACACCATGAGACAAGACATAGGCTAAGTTCAAGTCCATGTTGCAAAGGGACATTTCAACACAGGGCTCCCATTTTCAGTGAGACACTCCTGACCCTTGCAATATTTTTGCCCTCTGTGTTACATTCCATCTACAGCAGTGGTTCCCAACCTTCCTTCTCTTTGAGCCACCTTAAAGCAGCTGAGGATCTTGTAGGAGTGCTTAATGGTTGTTTGTCTTGTTGTAGCTTTGGGCCAGATGCTGCATGGTTTTTAATTGTATTGTACAGCTTCCTTCATTTCTTTTAAATTGTATTTTATTTGTATTACACACAACCACAAATCCAGACAGGCTGCAGACCACCTGAATGAAGCATGTAGACCACTGGTTGTCCATGGACCACAGTTTTGGGACTCCTGGTCCACAGATTGACAAAAAGGATGAGTTAATAGGTGACAGAGGTAATACATGATTCAACCAATCAATGGGACTGTATGTGCCTCTACCACCTGTATAGTTTCTAGGATGGAAATATATGAACAGGTCTATGCATATCTGTGCTCATCACCTCTCACCTGGATTCAGATTTTGTTAAAGTGTGTGCGTATTGGTTTCTCTTACTGAGTGCTGTGCTCACATGAGCTGAATTCCCTGAGAAGTAAGGAACCATGCATATAAGCTGAACCCATCAGTTAAAATTAGCATCCTCCCTGCACATCCTTTCATGGGTCAGAGGAACGACAGCCTCAAAAAGTTCTATTACGCTGCATCGAGGAACATCTGGGGATAACGAAATGGTGGGAATTTGCAGCTGAAACAGAGGTTTGAAACCTTGACTTGCTGGCACCATGGGAAGATGAAATCAAAATCAGAGGCAGTCGTGGGGAGATAGTCTCATCAAAGGCTTTCAAGCTTTGGAATAATTGGTCTGGGTAGAAGCCTCACACCGTCCACACTTCCAGGCCACTGCCTCATCCCTCCCTCCTCCATGATTATGGGAGCCATTTTATTACACACTTTTTACAACTGATCTTAACACCATTGTATCACTCTATCCATTCACCATAGGACCAAATTAGACACTTGGAAGCAGATCTAAGTCTCAAAGCAACAGGAGCAAGACTGTTTGCAGCGAAGAAGCGTTGGACAAGGGGAGGGGATGACTGAGTTTTAAACCTGCGACTCCCTCCCTGCCTCACAACCCCAGCTCCCCACCTTTCTACCCAAATGCAGTCCAAAAGGATTTTTACCACAACACCATGGAGTAGTGGCTTGAGGGAGGGAGCTGATGCAGAGGAAAAGTGCTGACTGGGTCGTGCACTCCTCTTCTGCTTGCCATCTCCCCTGCTGCTTTGCAGCTGTTTAGCAGCAACGAGAGTTTAAGATCTGGGTCTTCTGTCAACTTGATGAGTTACCTCTGCTAATTCCCTTTAAAAGAAGCTAAACTTGTCAACCTCATGTCCTTAAGACGACAACAACCTCATGATGCCATCTTAATGATTCATGATGCTATAGACCAATGTTTCTCAACCTGTGGGTCCCCAGATATTGCTGGACTACAACTCCCATCATTCCTAGCCAGCATGACCAGTGGTCAGGGATGATGGGAGTTATAGTCCAACAACATCTGGGGAGCCACAGGTTGAGAACCGCTGCTATAGACTCAGTGGGGAGGTGTATAGATTGGGATGCACAAATTCAGTACTGTATAAAATTGAAAATCATAAATAAAATAAAATAAATCAGTGTTGATTGGCAAGGGTGATCAAGCCTGCAGTTCCAGGGGGAGGGCACACATAGGTGAATTAGAATTGTGACTGACAGAACTGAAAGCAAATACAATGCAGGAAGAGACCTAGTCCAGGGGTCAGCAAGCTTTTTCAGCAGGGGGCTGGTCCACTGTCCCTCAGATCTTGTGGGGACGACGACTATTTTTTTTTGGGGGGGGTGAATGAATTCCTATGCCCCACAAATAACCCAGAGATGCATTTTCAATAAAAGCACACATTCTACTCATGTAAAAACACACTGACTCCTGGACCATCTGCAGGCAGGATTGAGAAGGTGATTGGGCCGGATCTGATCCCCGGGACTTAGTTTGCCTACCCATGACCTAGCCTAATGTGGTCCTGGTTGCAGGAATCTATCCCTTCTGTTATCACGCTAGAGTTATCCAAACATTGGCAAATTAGGTAAATGTGAAGGGACAAACGGAACATGCTCAGTCCACATCCTGCCCTTTGCATGTTTGCTGTAATTGTGCATGAGTAAGAATGTAAATCTGCTAATGCATGATCCATCCCAGACTGTGCATTTGTGAGCACAGGCCTGTACGTAGCAAGCCACTGGATAAAGGCTCCACAGAACTCTGTGCACATGGTTGAGGTTACGTGGGTAGGCCTGAGGGCAGGGAGGACAGGCTCAAAAGACTGACCCAATGTTTGTTTATTGTACTCAGGTTGCCAGATGTATATCTATGCAAGCTGAAAGATCCAAGTCCTTGGCCACTGTTCTAAAATGCAGGCAGTCCAGAAGTAGCTGGCAATGGTTGACAGAAGCAAGTTTCCATTACTGGAAAAGAGTGAGAGGCTGCCAGTTGGGCTCCTTGAAATAAACGGTGGGGCAGGAGGTAAAAGAACAATGACCACAGGAAAGTAATGGAAGCAATGGCCTCAACTAGACAGGAAAATTGCTGCAGGATAAAGTGAACTGGACTGCCAAGGCTGAAATGCATCAAACGTGGAGTGATTCTGCAGCCATCTTCTACCACCAAATGAAAGCATTTATCTATCATGCTGAAACCGAGGGTGGGAGAGAAGGAGAGGAAGAGGAGAGAGAAGGGCTACTCAGTCAGCTTTGCTGAAAGTTCAGCTCCCTTCAGTCCTTCTCTTTTTGAGTTGTTTCCATGCCAGCTGGTCAACCTAAGAATTTTTTAAGATTAAGAATTGGTGCTTGAGTTTACTTGCTTTCCTCTTCCACCCACACACCTTCTTTCCTTTTATGTTGACTGATCGAACCCAAAGAGTACTTATTAATGGTTCCTCATTACCCTGGGAAAAAAGTGGCAAGTGGGGTGCTGCAGGGTTCTGTCCTGGGCCTGTTGTTGTTTATCGTATTTATAAATGACTTGGATGAAGGAATTGAGGGGATGCTCATCAAATTTGCAGATGACACCAAACTGGGAGGCAGAAGAAAGAATCGGAATTCAAAATGACCTTAACAGATTGGAGAACTGGGCGCAAGCTAACAAAATGAATTTCAGTAGGGACAAATGTAAGGTTCTGCACTTAGGCAGGAAAAACCAGATGCACAAATATAGGATGGGGGACACCTGGCTTACTAGCAGTACATGTGAAAAGAATCTAGAGGTCTTGGCGGACCACAAGCTTAGCATGAGTCAACAGTGTGATGCAGCAGCAAAAAAAGCTAATGCTATTCTAGGCTGCATCAACAGAAATATAGTGTCCAGATCAAGGGAAGTAATAGTACTACTCTATTCTGCCTTAGTGAGACAACATTTGGAATACTGTGTCCAATTCTGGGCACCACAATTCAAGAAGGATGTTGACAGGCTGGAATGTGTGCAGAGGAGGGCAACCAAGATGATCAGGGGTCTGGAAACTAAGCTTTTGAAGGAGCTGGGTAGGTGTAGCCTGGAATAGAGGAGACTGAGAGGATATATGATCACCATCTTCAAATAACTTAAGGGCTGTCACATGGAGACATCTCCTGCTCTGGAGGGCAGGACTCAAACCAATAGCTTCAAGCTGAAAGAAAGGAGATTCTGACTAAACATTCGGAAAAACTTTCTGGGTGTAAGAGCTGTTCAGCAGTGGAACAGACTCCCACAAGAAGTAGTGGACTCTCCTTGGAGGTTTTAAAGCAGAGGTTGGATGGCCATCTGTCATAGATGCTTTAGCTGAGATTCCTGCATTGCAAGGGGGTTAGATTAGATGACCCTTGGGGTCCCTTACAACTCTAAATTTCTATGATTCTATGTCAAGCTCTCTAAATTATAATCTTGTAAACATCTTGTTTTTACTGACCTCTGGAAGCTATTCTGGGAACCTTTCTGGTTGGGTATTGGTGATGGAGATGCTTTAAGTCAACAAATAATAGATAATTATTGGGCTCAATGGGGCTTATTCCTTAGTAAGTGCGTTTAGCAAAGCAAGTACAACAGCAGCAGCAACAACAACAATGGTGCAATTCTGAGATGCATAAAAAGGCCCTGCAAGGCACCATCTCTTGAATGAAAGACATAAGAAGGCAAACGAGTTAAACATAAGGCCTCATTGATTTCTAAGGAACCTTGGCATACTTACCTTCCTTGCTGTAATCTTTAATTCTATCCAACAATTGCATTACA